TTTTTTGCAGAACTGGGGATTGGACTCAGGCCCTTGCACTTGCCAGGGAAGTGCTTATTCCACTGAGCCATCTCCCTGGCCCCCAAAGATAAATTTCTGTCCCCCTCCCCTTGTGGAATTGTGGATTGAACTCAGGCCCTTAGCGCTTGCCAGGCAAGCGCTTATTCTACTGAGCCATCTCCCCAGCACTCGAGGAATATTTTTAACAAATAAAAATGAATGTAAGCTTGATCAGTATAATCCCTGCATTCTGGGGGTCTGAGGCAGAAAGATGACAAGTTTGAGCCTGAGCAATTTAGCAGTTCACTGGGCCTCTGTCTGTCTAACAATAAAGATTAAAAAGACTGTGGTGGGGGCCTGGGAGATAGCTCAGTAGCATAAGTCTTCTGCTGGCAAGTGCAAGGGCCTGAGTTCAATGCCCGGTTCCCCCCGACCCCCCCCAAAAAAAGCCCAGACTTGTGCAAAGTGCGCCTAACAAACCAATGGCAGCACGTGTGTGTTCACTGCGCCAGATCCCTTGGAACTGCCGAGTCTTCCATGTGAGAGATGGAGAGACTCAGGCCCTGGGAAGTTAACTGACTTGGCCAGAATCACAGCGGGAAGGAGCAGAGCCAGGATTAAGCCAGGCAGTGCGCTTGGGCCTTGGTCACCCTGCAGAGCGCAATGGCCTGGTGTGGTGGAGTTGCTGGCTGGAGAGGCCAGCAGTCGGGAGGGTGGGGCCTGGGCCAAGGAGCTGGGACTTCTCATGGAGGTAATAGGGAGCCACGGGAGGTGTAAGAGCCCCAGCCCTTGTTCATGGCTTCTTGGTTGTTTCTCCACTTTGGACTTCTGGGCCCACATCACTCTGTGGGGTGGGAGTTGCGGGCACTGCAGTTGCTAAGCAATGTCCCCAGTCTCCCCCTGCCCTGTGTCAGGAGTTCTGGGAGTTGTGACAGCCACAGGTGCCCCCAGACACCATCCGAAGTCCCATGGGGGTCAGACTCACCTGCACTAACTTAGAGCATCTAAGGGACATGGGCTGGTGGCCAACGGGTCTCTGCATCTCACACTCAGGGAGGGAAGAGGGGACAGGTGTGCGCTGGGCCCCTGGAAGGAGCTGCTTTTGGGGGGCGAGAATAGTGCAGGAGGGAAGCAGGAGGCTCATGTGCTTGAGAGGAAATGGGGTTTAGGACCACCACGCCTCCTTTCTTGGGATTCCTGGGGCAGGGCTGGGGACCTGTGTCGCATACCCAGCCGTCAAGGCCAGCACCTCACCCTGTCACAAATGAGCCCTGTCTGAAGTGCTGGGTAGGAGCTCATGCTCAGCTGCCACCTGGGGGAACCTGAGTTCACCCCCAGCCCCTTAGTGCTCTAACTCCAAGTGAGGACCCCCAGGTGTGTACTGAACACCATGTACAAGGCATGGTTCCAAGGAGACACTTAGAGCAGGGACCAAAGAGGACAAAAACTCCTCCCGAGGGCTGACAACCTGCACATTAGGGCCTCCCTCCTTTGTCCTCAGCCCTCCAGGGCTCCCACCTCCCTGGGGCCAAAGCCCAGGTCCTCCTGCAGCCTGCATGACCCTGCGTGCCCCCACCAGCCCTCTTCCCTCTTCCCTCTGCTCTAGCCCTCGCTGCGCTTGCGCAGGCTGCATCCAGCCCCAGGGCCTTTGCACAACCTTGCCTCCTAGCTCAGCTTTTCTTCCCCATGACTGGCCTATTGCTTCATGTCCTTCTAGTGTTGACTTAAATGGCTCCGTGAGGCCTCCTCTGATTTCCTGGTATAATTCTTCCAAGGCTAGGACCTGGGTGAGCATGCTTTTGAGTAAGTTTCTTTTTCTTAAGTGTTTTTTTGTTTTTTTTATTTTTTTAATTTGGTACTAGAGATTGAACTAAGGACCTTGCACTTGCCAGGCAGACACTTAAGCAGCTGAGCTATCTCCCAGGCCCAGTAAGTTTCTTTCTTTAGGCATAATTTTTTTTAAAAAATATATATACATTTGGTACAGGGTCTCACTATGCAGATCATACTCAGTGATCCTCCTGTCTCAGCCTCCCCCATGCTGGGATTACAGATATGCACTACCACACCAGGTCTTGGTGGCCGGCTCAGCATGCCCGGGGTACGGCCAGCATGGCATGCGGTGGTCCTTGTGCTTGCCAAGGCAAGTGCTTAGTCCACTGAGCTGTCTCACTAGCGCTTAGGCAAATAACTTAATCTCTGGGCATGGTGGCTGAGGCAGGAGGATTGCAAGTTCAAGGCCAGGCGGGGCAATTTAGCAACTTAGTGAGACCCTCTTTTTTTTTTTTCTCTCGGTACCAGGGATTGAACTCAGGACCTTGCACTTGTCAGGCAAGTGCTTATTCTACTGAGCTATCTCCCCGACCCTGACCCTGTCTCTTATGTTTTTTGTATTTTATCAAAATAAAAAATGAGGGGCTGGAGAGATGGTTCAGTGGTCTAAAGCACCTACTTGAAACAAGCTTGGCAAAGTGTAGGGATCTCGGTTCGATCCTCCAGCACCACATGCCAGCCAGCCCCACCCCCTGGTGGGCTGAGCTGGCCACACACACAATAAATAAATGTAATAAATAAAAATAAATAAATATTTTTAAAAAATGAACTGCATTAAAATAGGGTTTAAGAGCCAGGCACGGGGGGAGGGGGGGGAAGAAAGAAAGAAAGAAAGAAAGAAAGAAAGAAAGAAAGAAAGAAAGAAAGAAAGAACAAACGAACTAGGCATAGGCTGGGTTTGGTGGCACTAGCCTATACTCTCAGGACTCAGGAGGCTGAGGCAGGAAGATACTGTGCATTTGAGGCCAGCCTGGGCTACAGGTTATGTAGTGAGCCTAACACAAAATATAAATTTATCCTTACAGACATTTAATATACTCCCTGTGCGCAACTGCCCAGTCTAAGCAGTTCCAGAACATTCCGTCACCCCGCAGGAAGCCCCGTCCACCCTCCTCGTGGCACGCACCTGTGCCCTTCCAGCCCGGGCGCCCTTGGAGCCACTTCCTGTCTCTGGAGCCCCCTGTCCTGGGCGGTTCCTGTCCACGGAGCCCACGCTGTGTGTCCTCTGTGCCTGGCGTCTCTCACTGAGGACAGCTGCCTCCAGGTGTCACAGCCTTGTTGTTATTTATTTATTATGTTATTGCCCTTACCATTGGTGGCACAGGGGACTGAACCCCAGGCCTTCACACTGAACTCCATCTCCAGTCCATTTTTTCTTTATTTACTTTTTTGTTGTGGAACTGGGGATTGAACTCAGGACCCCAGGCAGGCGCTTACGCC